TTTAAGCTTAGCTTAATTCGTCCTTTGTCTCTTGCCAACTGTTACTTCAGAAAGAGACAAACGTGAATAAACCCAAGATTAAAGTTAAGCGACGTTTGGTGACACCGGGCCTAAGAATATATCTAAGGTCCACTTGACGCTACAAATGCTTCGAAGCATTCTTCCTCTCTTTCCTTTTAGCGAACGAAGAAGGGCAAGAAAGCCTCGAAGCGTTAGTACACCCTCAGAAAGGATCTCTGTCACCGAGGCAAAAAATATTCTTTCCGCATTTATATTTCTCACAACCTCATTTTGTATAAAACTAAGACAATATCAAAATAAAATCAACAATTCTTAATCTCCTCTACCGAATTAAAACAAGTTTGACTTACTACATTGAGACAAGAGTAACTTATATAAATGTAAGCTTGTGTATTCTTGCGTTTAGAATAAATTTTCCCTCCATCTTACGCACGAAGATGGCACCACGATATTCGACAAAAGACGACACATACTATCATTTTATTCACGATTTTAGAATTGTTCATTTAAGATTCAAATATTCCTTTCTCTATAATAAATATGATTGGCGCTATATCGGTCCTATGTTATGATACTTTGAAGTGTAATAGCATTGAATCCGGAAATTTTTTCTGTGGGTGTAGAGTCAAGTGGACACGCAGCCTGCCCGTTTCTTCATCGATGCGGATTAACTTGAATCTCTTAATATGCCTCAGTGGTCGAATTGGTGAGACGCCCGCTTAAGGAGCAGGAAAGTCCAGGTTCAAACCCTGGCAGGGGTAATTGTTTTTTTGCAAAACATTTTCTGTATTATTACAAATGCCGGATATGGTCAATAAAAACACTGGAGTTGTTAATTACCGCCGGCGACATGAAGAATATTCTTGTTAGTTTAATCTCTTAACTTTTTAAAGATCTTTTTCTAATTGTTGGAAAAAGACGGAAGGTAACTTCAACCGCGGTTAAAATTAAACTACATCGGCAGAAGTGGAAGAGAATCTGCTGACTTCTGGTCAACAGTCAAGCAGAAAATAAAAAAAACCGGGCCTTATTCGATGATGTCAACGCACGATCGATCCTCGATAATGTGCCGCCTTTATTAATCCGCACAATTATTCGGGTCATCAGTTGCGACTGGCATCTAATTAAATTGTGTTAATTCCTCGCGTAAAATATTCGCGCGGCATAAAGAAAATAATTGGGATGTCAATAGCCGCTCGCGCGCTGCCGCCCGCGATCAAACGGCCTCGCTAGATTTTACAGTAAATCCGTCCGTGTTTATATCGCGTTTAATCGAATAAAATAGATTCGCGGCTTCGCCGACGGGCCGAATTAGCTCGCGGCGCGCGGTTTTCATAAAGCCCGGACCCCGGCTTTGTCGGAATTCAACGAAACGCGCGCCGATTTCAAGCGCAGCGCGCGTCCGCATTAAACCGAACGTCGACCCTTTACTTTGTAAAAATGTACGCGTTACGGAAATTTCTCGAACGTGAAATATGCGAGCGACTATCTGTTTTTTTTCCCCTCCCCGTCGAAACCCGCTCGGAGAGCGCCCTGTTGATTTTGGAGCATAACAAACGTCAGTAAATGAAAGGGCATGTCGCCCAGGAGCTCGAAAAGAATCCAGCTGGGTTTTTTCTTCATCGATGATGTCGCGCCGAACGTCCTCAACGGCGATAAACGACGTCGTTCCGTCAAGTCGCGTTAGACTAATATTACATTCGTCGTACGACAAATCTTTCAAGCGCGTCGATTGGCTGCTGAATAGAAAATTTCCAGGCACTCGAGAGTTTTACTATCCTGCAGCCAATCAACGCACTTCAAAGATTTGTCGCACGGCAAGTTTTTCCAGGCGCGTTGATTGGCTGCTGAATAGAAAATTTCTAGGCACTCGAGAAATTTGCTAATCCCGCAGCCAATCAACGCACGTAAGAGATTTGTCGCGCGACAAATGTAACACCGGCTTTACATGCGTGGCAAAAAAAAAATATCGGACGCGTCTCGTACTTCAATTCTGCGCCAAGTGACGCATCCCCCAAGTTGTGCCAATATACGTTTGTTTCGCAACAATTCGCCCGAAACCGAATACGAAAGACTCGTTACGGTTCTCCAAGGAAAAATTCTGCGCGAATACGGTGCCCGGTTCTGGCAATTTTATATGCACGATTTGTAAGTGACGTTATCTATTCCTCGTACGAAGTTTACGTTCAAGTAACTCGCGTCTACGTTAATCGGCGGTCGCTTTGCGCCTGTTAATCCAAGATTATTCCTACACGTGTCAAATATTGTCATCAAAAAGAACCCCTTTCTTCCGTTTCCATTTCTGATATTTCGGCCTACTTTTTGTATACTTCGATCACCGCTGACATCGACGATTTATTTCTATTGGTTTCGTTAATTAACGTTTCTCTCGTACCCCAGAAAATGCCGATCTCTCACGGTTAGCGCGTCATTTATTTGTACACCCTTGATTTCGTCCACTATTTCGCAAATTGCTGCGCATTCGTTCAACCGCGATCTATAAAACTCGAAGGCCCGGTTTCACCAACGTCGCTTAACTTCGAGCTCGGCTTAATTCTGTCTCTTCTCAACTGTTACTTCAGAAAGCGACAAACATGAATTGAACTAATATCAGAGCGACGTCTGGTGAAACCGGGTCTGATTCGCACATTCTGGAGGTGAAACAGTCGAGATATTCCCAACGAGCGAAAAAAAAAGTGTCCAGTCATTACGGAAGCAATTTCAGCCCGTCGTCCGCTCCGTCAACTACTCCGATCGGACGCGATATACGTGACACGCGTTCTTTTCGAAAATTGCCAAATCTCCGGGCGGCTCCTTCGCGACAATTTGGCGGTGTACAGGTCGCAACGTAGATCGTAGCACGCCGGAGCCAACGACGGTGCGTCGTCCGCTCGCAGTGACGTTTAGCCGCACTCTGTGGGAACGCGAGATGCAACGAGCGGCAGAAAAATGCGTCCGACTCGCCGTTAGCCCGCGTCGAGTGCGTGCGGGCGCGTGTATGCGTGAGACGCACGCACGCGCGCGCGAAATGAGCGAGGGGAAGAGAGAGAAAGAGAGAGAGAGAGAGAGAGGGTCGGAGGGAGGGCGAGCGCGAGAAGCCTGAAACAGGGGAGAAGAGAGACGCGGAGAGGGCCTTCTCTCGCTCTCTCGCGCAGGCAGGTAAGTAGATAGACGCGTAATAGCCCCGACCTCGCATGCGCTCGTCGCGATTCCGCGTCTTCGTGGAAATAATAATCGCGGCTGCCGAAAGCGAGTGGCTGTATATAGCGAGGCGAGGCCTCGCCGCCGCGCGATCTCGCCTTCGCAAAATCGCCTGACACAGTTTTCAGTCCGCGGCGGCCGGCGCGACGCGACGCGAGACGCCGCACGTTGTTGCCTCCCTCGCGACAAGTCGCTGAGGCGAAAGGAATGTTACGCGAGAGAAAGAGGGAGGCAGAGAGATAGAGAGAGGGAAAGAGAGAGAGAGAGAGAGAGGTCTCCGCTATCCATTCTCGCGCCGTCGCCACCGTTTCCTCCTCCTCCTTCTACTCGCGCGCTTGCGAAAAAGAGTCCGGGAAGCGGGAACGTTCGGCGGGGCGATTTTCTCGCCGAGTTTTCGCGACTGGAAAAAGACCCCCGCGACCGATACCGAGAATCGAGGTGTCTCTCGCCGCGCGCTCGGAGGCTCGAGCGCGATGTTACGAGGACGAGAAGGAGAGAGCGAGACGGAGAGAGAGGCTACGGGACACGGCGTGCCTGCCCGCCTGCGTTCTCGCCCTCTCTCCGCTCTCCTCTCGCGGTCACTTCTCCTCCCCTTCCTCGCGCCTCCCACTCGTTGCTCTCTCTCTCTCTCTCGTTCCTTCTCGCTCGCTCGCGCACGCTCTCGCTCGTCGACTCTCTTTTTCTCCGTCTCGTACAACGTACCGTAAGACTTGGCGGTCTGACGTGAATCAGGCGTGACATTGGCTCGACACAACAAAACTCGGAATCTCACTGACGCACGTACACGCGCATACGTACGTGCGTACGTGCGTACATACGTACGCACGGAGCCGCCAGAAAGACGGACGGTAGGGAGGGGGGGAAGGACTCTTGCGATACACAACAGCAGCACGAGCGACAGCAATGGGCGATGACGACGACGTTGACATTGACGTCGACGTCGACAGAGGTGAAACGAGCGCGAGCGACGACAACGACGACATCGTCGTCGTCGTCGTCGCGAATATAGGTTAACGTTCGGGGCGCGACGGTGGTCGTAGCACGCGCGCTCTTTCTTTCTCTTTCTCTCTCTCTTTCTCGCTCTCTCGTTCACTCGCTCGATCGCTCGTTCGCCCGTCCTCGCGTCGTCGCGACGTGTGACGTGCGGAGCCGCGGGATGCCGGCGGCGGCGGCGGCGGAGGCGATGCGGCGGCCACCTTGGGGGGCCCTCGCTCCCGTTCTCCAGCGGTCGCCTCGCGTTCGCCGAGGCGGAGTCGCTTGGAAATCGGGCATCGGCCACCCTCGGAGCCGCGGAATCGACGCCTGTCGGGGACGAGGAGTCGGGCGCGGGCTCGCCGAGCGGGCGCGCTCGCGCTCGCGGATCACTCACCAGTGCGAAGAAATTCGTGTGGCAGTCCTCCAGGCTGGCGCCGTTGGTTTGATGCGACGGATGCGTCATGGCTTCTCCATCGTACGCCGTACACTCATTTAGTCTAACACTCGAACGGCTGCCCCGTCGCCGATCTTATCCCGTACACACGGGGTATTTCACGCTACGGGCTGGCAAACACCGCGGGACTTTATTCACTCGGCCCGTACATTTAGGAGGGTTTTCACTTCTCAATGGCGACCGTAAAATGGCGGCGGGCGGCGATGGGAAACAACAAGCGCAGCCGCCGGGTGCGCCCCCTAACGCTCACTGCCGCAGTTCTAGTTGCCGTCGACGGCTACCGTCGCTGCTGGTGCCGCTGCTTCCTCCGCCGCTACCACCACCACCGTCACTACCACCACCATCACCACATCCACCACCACCACCACCACTGCTGCTATTGACACCGCGACGGCGACGACGACGACGACAACGAGCGTGGAAAAGATGGCGGCGCTCATCAGGCATGGCTCGCTCGCCAGCGCGTTTAGGAGCACATCGGCTATCCTCTTGCCGGCCAGCGCGGTCAGTCAGGCACCAATTATCCCAGCCGCCCACACGCACCGGCCGTCGTCGCTGCACTCGCGACGGAAGTCACACGCGCGTCGTGGGCGACGGCTGCACGCGCGTCACTAACGAGACCGTCATTTTTTCTGCCACGCAGGTGACCGCGGCCCGCGGCGGCGTCGCCCGGCACAAGAGCGGCAGGCCGGCCAAGACGACGAAGAAGAGGGTCGAGGTGAAGACGCGGATCGACTCCGTCGGGGAATCGCTCGCCGCCCGCGGGTAAGCGTCCGACACGTCGCAGCGCCTCGCCTCGCGCACGGTGAAATCGCGGTTACGTCGCGGCGCTGCCTGGCTAACGGCGGCCGCACCGCGGCCATATTAACCGTACCTACCACCACTCCCCCGCGCGTCGGCCAATCGCCCGGCGAATCTGACAGGTACTCAGGGCCGTGCGTCTCCTCGCCTCTCCCCCGCCCCCTCGCGACGCCAAGCTCTCTCGGAGTCGCGCCGCGGCGCGAGCTGTTTACATTTTTCCTCGCGTCTTCTTTTTGTCTCTTGTTATCGTGTCTCGCGCGGCTTCTTTTTTTTTCTCTCTCCGATGCCGGACGCGCGCGATTCACCGCGAGCGAAAATCGTCGAGTTCCTCGATCGGATAAAGGGAGAGGATATCCCAGATTTTCATTTCTCCGCGACTCGGCGCGCGGTATCGAGCGGTGTCGCCCGCCTCGTTCGAATCCGTCGGCCTCTCGCGATTAAACGGATCAATCCGGACGGAGCGCGATAATCCTCCGGCGCGCAATCGACGGGAGCGTCGAACGCTGCTCCGGCTGGGGGGG